GGTCTTCGTAAGTGTTCAATTCAAGTACCCGGCTCTGAAACTTCGTTACATTGACCGACGTTTTCCTGATTTTCCTCAACTACTGCAGGTAAATGCTGGGATAGTAGGACTTTCCCATGGGGTAGGATCATTTCATTCCACATCCCTCCCAATTCATAGAGAGAACCACCTCTCTTTTTACGCTACATGACGCATGAACGCAAACAGATCGCTGCATTTACCAGTAGCACTACAGATGAGTGGATGTAGACAGAACCGAAGATAATGATAGGATGAGATAATGATATTATTTCAGTGCACTGTTTCGAAACTCCTTGAAGCTGAGTTACCCTAAGTTTTCAAGAAAGGCTCCACTATACGAAGATATTTATGAAGGAATAAAACAGTAAAGAACTAAAACCTATTTTCTGGGATTTCAGATTTTAACGGCTGTGATTGTGAGGATTGCTGTCTTATAGGAAGTTACCCCGTATAGACTATGCATATTTACCGTAACAAGGGTAGAGCACTATATTCCTTCATTATTTTCGTCACTTCTCTTGGACCGCATAAGACCTCACCCCTGGGAGCCCCATTTTTCATGATTGGATTACTCTTCCACCCTGAAGGTGGAGGCACCGTGTTTCTTAAAAATTCAGTTAAAATCTATCAAGCTACGGGGCCTCACATTCCAAAATACATGACTATTTTTATATAACTAATTATTTCCTTCAATGTTAGGTTGTAGATCTGTTTTGTCCTTTCGACATCTCGGTTTTGTCCTTCATCCGTGCCCCCAACCTCTCGAATAATGAAGGAAGTAATAAACTAAGTTCAAAATGAACAAGCATTTGAAAAAATAAATTTAGTTATATGGCTAATTGGATTGGTCATATCTTACGCAGTAACTGCTTTCTAAATGAAGTTATTGAAGGAAAGATAGAGGGGCGGATAGAAGTGACCAGAAGACGAGGAAGAAGACGGAAGAAGATGCTGGATGACCTTGGGGACAGAAGAGGATATTCTAATTTGAAGGAGAAAGCTCTAGATCGCATTAAGTGGAGGAACTGTTTTGGAAGAGATTGTGTACCTGTCGTCTTGACAGATTACTGATGAATGAATTAATGAATGAATTAATGAATGAATGAATAGCATTTGAGTTTTTCACAGCAGTGGTCATGAAGCTTTCTGTTTTCTGTGGTGTAACACTGTGTAATCTGTTTAAAAGGCCACATTATATTATATCATAACAGATGGAACTCTTCAAGGTAAGCATAAGTAAGCATATTGTCATGAGTAGGGCGGTACGCGGGACGAAAATTACGGGTTCTAGTTCGGATTTATTAGCACTTTGGTTACAGTCTCTCCTAATCACATTTGCTACAGCGCTTTCGCTGATTTATACTATTCAAAATTCACTTTTACACACACACACACACACACACACACACACACACACACACTATTCCTCTCCCGGTAATGCAATTAAAACACAGGAACTAGCACTTCGAAACACTACAAATATTACATGTAAATAAAGTCTTCTAATCACACACTGCCGGTCACGGTAGCCCAGCGGTCTAAGGCATGTACTGTCTTCGCTCGCTTGGAAACCGGGATCGTGGGTTCGAATCCCACTCAGGGCATGGATGTTTAGTTTGTGTGTGTGTGCGTTTTTCTGTGTTTGTGTACATGTAGAGGCCTCGCGACGAGCTGATCACCCGCCCAAGGAATCCTACCGAATGTGTAAGATCTAGAAAAGCCGAAGTGAACGGAGAAGTTCATGGAGGTAGGCCTAGGCCCACTGGGGCTCTAGTGCCAAGGAAAAGAATCACACACTAAGTCTTCATATGACGAATTTTCCCTGGCTATCTTCCACCGAGAACTCAGAACTCAGGACTTTGTCACTTTCACTTAAAACTCCTCACAATTCACTAAGGACACGCTACATTCTCTTCCCTGTACTCTCAACTGCTGAACTCTACTGGACTCTTTTTCGTGAGTGCTTCGTGTCCTTGACTCTCGCTATATAGCCGCGGGGGGAACAACACAGGAAACACAGCCTCTAATTTTGACGAAACTTGTTTACTGCTCGTTGCCTAGCAATGGAAAATCCTTTGCCTATTGTTGGCGAAGAAATTTTCTTCACTGGAATGTATTTACCTAGCTGTTTCCTATCAAGGGTTATACATGTTACAATATCATAACGGAAATAATTCTGTTCATTAAATTCATTTGAATCATTTCATCTTCAATGTCTTCTAATATTCATCTATTTCTTCTGCCTATAATTTAACACTTTTCTTCTAGTGAGTGCATAAGAATATTTAACAGCTCCTATTGATTTGTTAATCCTCATAAATCCTCTGATCTTAAGAAAACAGATTTATTTCCAGGTGACTTGATTATACCAAAATACTTCTTCCTTAGTTACTCAAGTGTAGTTTCTATATGCAGAGCGAGGTGGCCACTGCTTATGCGGAACAAGAAGTGTTACGCAGACCAGTTCCGGTTCAGGTGAGAGTGGTAAGATGAGTTTCAGTTACGTCATCGAGAAACTCAATAATCCACATATGTATACATGGCTCCTTTGAAAGAGCACAAAAATCAACTTTAAACTGTAGATACAATGTAGGATATCATTTGAAGGTCGCCTCCAATATACCAAAAGCTGTACACTGTACACTCAGTAAGGCTGGTGTTTAATGATGGGATGAATAAAATATTGCTCGTTAATCCCACAAAAGATTTCTCATGAAAATTTAAAGTAACTTGCCTGCGGCCTCAAACATGAAAACTATGGCTCATGTTTCTTTACTTTATTTGGATATCTCATTATTTCTTTGGGTACAATTAGATCTGGTGCCGTTGCAGAGTGGTTAATACTTCTGTTAGGAGTTCCAGAGATCCAGAGCTCAGTTCTTGATCAGGAGATGGACTATGCTGACTGACTCTCTTCTTAATTTCCTCAGTCTTCCTAAGAACATACTCTGAAACAGACCACAGCCACTTCCTTCCAAATACGCACAACTCTTTATTCAGGAGTATCTTCCTATCATAGTCGAAGCTACAATTGCATCGAGAATTCGTTAATTATTATTCCCACGGTGGTGTCTGTAAATATTGCTTTGATCTGGGTTGTAACGCCGTGTAGTCTGGCTGTTCCTGACGAAGTCCTCTGTTTCCCCTGACTTCCTTATGTTTCCCACTGATTCATTCACAGTCACCACTTCTTACAACCACTCTATCCTTGAAAGTCGGCCATTTTATAGTCAATATACGCTTTTGTCATTCTCCTTACCCATCCTGGCTTGTTCAGCCCTGTTCCTGGTGTTCCATCTCCCTATATTCGTACCTGTCTTTTGCCAGGTGAGTTCTCTTCTTTCCTGAGACAGAGATGGTAACTTCCTCGGAAACATCTGTAGGTGTCTACCAGGCTGCAGGATAGCATATTCCAAAAGACGGTCAATTTCGAAGTATGATTCAGTGTGTGACTCTGAAGGTTATGCGATCGAGTAAAAAGAACAAAGTGACGAAAGAGGAGAAAGAATATAACAAACAAGCAAAAATCCTTGGCCTGTAGTCCGCAAGCGAACTATACAGATCGAGCGACGGCCGCTTGTCAGCGAAGTTAGTACAAACTTTGTGGATAGAGGGTGTCGCGTGGTCAGTGCAACGGATCCCCACGGCCGTTACTCTCGGTTTTCTAGACCGGAGCTACTGCTTTCCCATTCAAGTATCTCCTCAATTATCCTCATGAGGCTGAGTGGACCACGTTCCAGATTCAATACTTCTCACAAAAACGGGGTAGCGCTGGGAATCGAACCCGAGACCTCTGGACCTGTAGCCAGGAACTCTGACCACTAGACGACAGAGCCGTATAAAATGAAGAATAACAGCAAAATTACATAACAGGAGAAAATGACTGAAAATTGTAGATTCGTTTGTTATTTAACAACACTGCACAAATTCAGGTCATTCAGCTGTTGGGATATTACTGTTCAGAATTTTGGTAATTCAGTTCAAATCCATGGGACCAAAAGTCTTCACTGAGCAGGCTAATATAAAATTCTTTTCAGTAGGTATGCAGCTCGAATCTCGAACCGTTATCAGCTGTTGTGACTGAGAATATTATGGTTTTCCTCAGTCTCTCCAGTAGATTGCCATTGTTTTGTCTTCAATACGTGATGATCGTTTCCACTTAAATCTCCGTCTCCTTACCATTCGCAATCTGCCAGTCTTATTCAATGCTGTGAACCTTCGTCAAGAAACCAAATTTTCGTTAAATTATACGCCGGCAATATATCTATGACAAATTCAGGTTGCATACAACTTCCGGTCCGGTACAAACCAAGTAGGCCTGCAAGAGTTCTGTGGTGAATGTGGGATGCAGAGGTCTTGGCGCACTTGAAGCTATATATCATTTTCCGGTCCCAGAAAGTAATGACGTCACAGCAGAGAGTCAAATTAGAGTCATTAGCGGAGATGGAAATTGCATTTTTCGTAACAAACTGAGGTAGTGGCATTGGAGCCCGCAAAATATTTTCACTCACTGAATTTTTTTGGAAAAAAATGACTTGAAAGAGAAAATAAAGTATGAAAAATATTAACGTAAAAATAAAATTATCCCGAATGATATACGGTAGATATGATGACTGGCTCCACCCTCTCCTCCGGAAAGAATTCTGACAGTTACCACGAGTAGTGAGCTTAGTACAATAAGGCAAATAAGAAAGCGAAACAAACAAGACAAAAGAAAACATCAAAGGAAAGAAGAAAGGAATAGAAGAGGAAGAAAATTATTATTTAAGGTGCGGATTTTGACGTCTTTTAAACATGGCAATATTAAGATCATGATGAAATTGACATACATCTCCTGTAAGTATATGATCAACTATCTGTAGTGTGATTGGTTTAGGAACGGAGATTAACAGATACTGCAAGTTTGTCTCCCCCTCCTTTTGGTAATAATGACGTCAACCTTGTTTCTCGTATCAATAGCACTTTCCAGCCAGTGAGGACACTAGTCACATCGCAACCCACCGCAACAGTATACACACGCACCTCAAGGGTTCTCCTTCGTCATGCGCTGCTGGATACCTGCCCTACTCTTCTTCTTCCTTGCATTAAGTTCGGCAAATTTGTACAATGTGACAGAATCTTCTCACACGGAAACGAAGATCACTGAAGGTGTGAATGACGTGGGCAACAAGGCAGATCGCCGGAATTATGCCGTTCTGCAGGACTGGTTTGCGGCGCCGCCTCTGCTTCCAATATCTGTCGCTGCGTCCGATAACTTCCGGAGCCCGCGCTGCAGAAACCAAAGCCAGCTCTTTCTGCAAGAGCTACGTAATTTCACCTTATGGGCTGTACAGAGTAAGTAGGCCACATTTTTAAAATATGACTAAATTATTTTATATGCTGGGATAATTTAATAATATTAGAAAGCTCATAGTTAAGTAGTTACTATAGGATTCTGACGATGGTGTATAACACACAGAGATACTGGGTTTTCGGACTTTATCCATCGTCCTGGTTTAAGATAACTAAGAAAAACACGACGTTTCGGAAACTGTACCCAGTGATTGAGGCTAGCTCTTTCTAATGGATCCAACAGAACAGGTGCTTTCCCTCACCTGAGGACGGAAACAGATCCAGTTTCCGAAACGTCGTGTTTTTCTCAGTTATCTTAAAAACCAGGACGATGGATAAAGTCCAGAAACCCAATATCTCTGTGTCTCATAGTTAAGATCTGTAAATAAATCCTCTTCTTGATTATCTTGATAAACTGAAATAACAAACTTTTTTAGGTATCCTCTTGGGGAGGATGAGGAAAATTACGAAAGCCTGAGTTATAAAATTGGTCCCCAGGCCGATATTCAACCACGAATAACATGTTTAAGAAGAAAGAATTCTAATCACTATTCTACAACGTTAGATCCAAATTTTTTGTATCACCTTGATCTGAATTCTTGACAATATACATTTCTGTAATTATGTATTTATGTTTCATCTATGAAACTGATATACCCTCAAAACTACAATTTCGTAAACCATACTTCGGTGTATTTACAAAAGTTAGAATCTTGATTACAAATCACTGTTGGAGTACTAACTACAAAATACGAATAAATATTATAATTTCGATTCGCTGTCATTTGATGAACGGTGTAGAAGATAAAATTTCATGTTCATATTTTCGAAATTTACACTATGTTTAATGTGTCTTAGTTACGAGCGCGTGAAGACATTTGTAAAACTTTCTCTCAACTGTTAATAAATTATAGTACCAAAATTCCCTTCGTTTTCGTTAAGAAAACCATGTTTAACATAAAACATTTCATAAAATATAAACATTTTAGACCATGCATTTCATAACCATGATATATTTCTAGATGGCTAACTTGTGAATTTAAGAAACCGGCTGAGGGCCAATTTACTTTTTCGCTTAGTGGGGGGGGGTTCCTGCTTGATCCACTCGGCATGGTGGTCACTGATTGGCCTATTGTACCTGCACCGGGTGATTATGATGATGGAGAATTTGGTGTGATGAAGATTGGCAAGGGAAACCGAAGTCCTCGGAGAAAACCTGCCCCATCGCCACTTTGTCCACCACAAATCCCACTTGACAAGACCCCGGGATCGAACCCGGGCTTCCGCGGTGGAAAGCCAGCGACAAACCGCTTGAGCTATGGCGAGGCTTAAGTTATCATAAACTTAACATACCACGACATTTACAAAGAGCATTGGCTTCTCGAGGGGCGACATACCAATTAGCGTGACGAAGGCTGGTCGTTATACTATACTTAAACTACTTATTGTACTAAACAGTCCGTTAACAATATAACAAATTGTTGAAAGTGTATTGTGAAAGTGTACGAAAGAAGGAACAATTTGTTGCATTGTTGACGTACTGTGTTGTACAATAAACAGTTTTAGATACCGTAATGCAACAGGATTCTTAAATACAGGAATACAATAATTAAACAAGTACAAAAATTTGTATTAGCTGGATGATAGCTTTTTCGTACGACTCATCTTAATGCCAGCAATTTTTCATTTCGGACGTTAACCTGAACACAGAGACACCACAAATCAAGTTGCTCCAATAATTTAACTGGAAATCATTCAGCGTCCTGTGCTGCTTAGGCTTAAGTCCATATGAGACTGCAGATTTCTGGAATGTGACTCCATGTTATAATGTCGACATAGGATTCGCCAAACACAACGATGTTGTAACCGAGAGAAACCCACTCCTTGGGCCGCGTCCCAGCTCAACGGTTAGTCGCTGGCTTCCCACCGCGGCGGCCCGGGTTCGATCCCGGTTCTGGTCAAGTGGGATTTGTGGTGGACAAAGTGGCGTTGTGGCAGGGTTTCTTCGAGTACTTCGGTTTCTCCTGCCCATCTTCATTCCATCAATAGCTGCACAATCACCCTCACCTATCATCTGGGGCTGGTACAATAGGCCAGAAGTGGCCACAGTACAAGGGACTTAGTCCCACCCCACTAGCAATAAAAACACTCCCTAACATGAAACAAGACCAGCAATCCGACAGAAATATCATTATTTCCCTCACTGACTACAATTAGGTAGTAGTTTCAAGTTAAGTTTCAACTTAACATCATTAAATCTAAGAAATGACATTTAATCCGACATATAATTTTGTTTTAGACTACAGCTGAACACAATACAGGATTACTATAAAAGAAATAGACATGTTCAACGTTCTATAGAAACCAAAGTATTATTTATATAGCCCAAATATTTACATGCTTTTTTAGTCTGTATAGCTAATTTTTTTATTGCTAGTGGGGTGGGACTATGTCCCTTGTACTGCGGCCACTTCTGGCCTATTGTACCAGCCCCAGATGATAGGTGAGGGTAATTGTGGAGCAATTGGTGGAATGAAGATTGGCAGGGGAAACGGAAGTACTCGGAGGAAACCTGCCCCAGCGCCACTGTGTTCACCACAAATTCCACTTGACCAGAATCGGGATCGAACCCGGGCCGCCGCGATAGGAAACCAGGGACTAACCTCTTAAGCTATGGCTCGGCCTTATAGCTAAATTACAAATGTTCTATGTTTGAGCCTTTCGTCACAGGACAGTTATCAATACGATAATCCAAATCATTCCAAACGCCGCTCAACAGACCAGAATATGGCACTGACACGTTGGTCACCCAGAAGTCCGGATCTAAAGCCTTGTGCTTTGTTCCTCTACTTCCTCTAAGTGTAAACGATCTAAAGAAACGCATCACAACAGCTGCTGACAGTGCTGACGAGGACATGCTCCGGTGGGCTTGGAAAGAAATTGATTATCGCATTGATATCTGTCGTGTGACAAAAGGCTCATACATAGGTAACTTATAGCTTAGTTATACACACATAAACACATAAACTAAAAACCATGTAAGTAGTTTGGGCATGTCAAAAATACTTTGGTTTCTATAAAATATTGAAAATATATATTTCTTTTATAGTAATTCTGTACTTCGATTTACATTTGCCATTTTTTGCAGTTTGATATTATTTTAGATCAGACATTTTGAAATTTGTAGGCGACGTAACGGATAATTTGGAGAGAAATAATAATTAAAGTTACCTTCTGGTGATGTATCGCATGCAGAACCACAGCGGCCTCATTCCTCCTCCTTCGAGGACTCACAAACTTCGCATGACGAAACCAAACATTTTCGTAAAAAGTTGTTAAAATATTTGCACTTGTAGATTGTATGCAAGAACCATATTCCTTTAGCTTATCTGGTGTGCAAGTGTCTCATGAGAAGGAAATGTTGAAACATGACTGGGCATAAAGCACATTTGGATTGAGTTCTCATAATTGTGCTCATACCTTGGTGATGGTTCTCACTGATCTTACTAGTTCTCATTGTGATTCCAAAACTGTTAGGGTAGGAACGCACACAGCGACATCGGTCGTACGGAAAAATGTCGTACGATTTTTTGCTGTACGATCTCCTTTTCACACTAGAGCGACCAAATACATTTCTTTGCTCTCCAACTGTCGTACGGTAGATGTCGCATGTGGTTACGTATGAAAGCTAAGACTACACTTTATATTCTACTACTTGATGGGACATGAATCGTAGGGACGTAGTACAACCAATGTCGCTGTGTGTGTTCCTAGCCTTAGTCTGTTTGTTTCGACATCCCCTTCCTCCTCCTCCTCCTCCTCCTTTTAAGCGACTTTGATAAGTCAAAAGCTATAGAAGGTAAAATTGACAGCGAACACAATTCATTCAAAGCCACTGAATAATTTAAACCACATTGGTTTCTGAAAAAACAGGCTAAAGACATCAGAGTGATATGTGAGTCCTCCTTAGACTTTCAAATCAACTAAACAGTTTTATGAAATTGTCATTCGAAGCTACTTCAACCTCATATGAATTATATTAGCTATATGCGCTACCTGCTTATACAAACAAAACTCTGCATTCTGACAGCAAATAGCATTTATGGATTTTGTATTAGTATTCACAGAATAAACTTCGAACAGTTCCGTATACCCAACCAACTAAACCATATTTGTAATGAGACACCAATGTTTTGTGGCAGATAAAGTAAAGTTGTCCTTGGTCTTAAATAATTACTATGCCATGAAAATTTATGAGGTAGTGGAGATGAAGCTCCATTATTCTTAACCTCGACATAAGATGGAGGTGAGTTGTCAGTTTCACTGTTCTGCCGCTTTACCCTCAGGGAAACAGCCCACGTTGCCCATTGATTAGTAGGCTGGGTAGGCCCTAGTGCCGGTCTGAACGCTGTGGAGAAGAGAAAATCTTTCTCTTCTGGAAACCGAGTCCCGGTCGTCCAGACCGTAGCCCGTCACTAAATTGACTGAGCAATAACGTCTCCATTTTGTGGGAGGTAGGAACTAGATTGTTTAAATGGTGCTTAGAGGAGTATCACGCGTCTACAGTTAAAAAAGAACTAGTCTTCTGGATAAAATTCTGATGAAATTTCATGGTCATCATCGGAGCTTTCAATTCGAATCGAAGATATTACTTCCTTCCCCCTCCGGAGTACATGTCGTCTTAACATTCCATTACTCATGCTAATGAACAGAAATAAGATCTCTGTAATAAACTGGACGTATAGAGTCTAACTTTATATTTCGCTTATTTGAAATACGGACTGATGACCGTTATGCATGAGGAAGGTCCTACGACCGTTCTATTTGATCAAGGTTATTAGTGGTTTTCCTCGATACTAAGGAAAATGCTGCGTTAATACCAAAATCTTACGTTGCTCCTGCGTGCTTCTCTTGCAACCTTCCCAATGACAATACTAAACCTGAGCCCAAGCTCAGTGAAGGCCCTTCTCAACTACTTTCCTCTATGGCATAATCACAAAGCA